CTCCCTACGAGGCCTTGTATGGTCGCTGGTGTAGGACACCTACTTGTTGGTCAGAGGTTGGAGACGCAGAGCGGTTTGGACTGGATTTTGTTCAGGAGACTACTGAGTAGACCAAAATGATTAGGGACCGTCTGAAAAAGGCTCAGGATCGTCAGAAAATTAGTATGATCTCAAGCATCGACCTCTAGAGTTTGAGGAGGGAGATCATGTATTCCTGAAGCTGTCACCGGTTACGGGTGTTGGACGAGCCCTTGGAGTGAGGAAGCTGAGTCCGAGATTTATTGGACCCTACCAGATTCTTCGTAGGGTGGGACCGGTTGCCTACCAGCTTGCCTTACCTCCGCAATTAGCAAATTTGCATGATGTGTTTCATGTTTCTCAGTTGAGGAGATATGTAGTTGATCCTTCTCATGTGGTTCAACATGATAATGTTGAGATCCGGGAGAATTTGAAGACTCCTATTGGGCCACTGAAGATACTCGAAAGAGATGAGAAGAAGCTGAGAAATAAATCTATTCCTATGGTGGAAGTCCAATGGGAAGGAAGGACGCCTGAAGAGTCCACTTGGGAGCAGGAAGATGAGCTTCTCCGGCAATATCCTGAGTTTAAGGACAAGTATGTTCTTGATTTTGCGGACAAAATCGCTAAAAGGTGGGGTGACTATAATAGCCCTAACCCAATTAATTAGCAAATTACATGCAATTAAATAATTAAGCATGTATTAGTGAGTAAAATTAAGTATAAGACTTAATTAAATGAATCTGAGTCACTTTGGGGTTAAAAAGTGTACTCAGTGAAAATTAAGGGGTATAAATGGGTACTGGCGAAAGTGCCCAAAATATAAAAATAAAATTTCAATATTCCTAGAATAATATTCCAGACTTTTGGGTAAAGTTTGGTAATTAATGGAGTTGAATAGATAGATGAACCAATACCCACATAAGTCACTTAACTAAGTAAGTGACTTAGAAAGCAAATAAAGGAGCCCCATTTCCCCAACCCCCCCGTCGAGAAACAGAGACAAAGAAGGAGAAAGAAGAAGAAGGGAAAGGAAGGAGGAAGAGAGAGGGAGAGCAAATCCCAACCGTTTTGGGTGATTCAAAAGCCTAAACCACTCTAAATCTTCCCCTCTTTCATAATCCTAGCTTAGTTCTTAGTGGGGAGCTTTGTGTGGTGAGATATTGGCTCTCAAAAATTCGCCCATTTGGTGAAATTTGGGGTTTTGAGTGCTTCAACCTCCATTGAAGCTTGAGGAGCCATCAATCCTTGGTTGTGCAACCATTGGTGGTAAGATTTTACCCCTTAAACCTTATTTTCATGGAAAATTGCATGAGTTAGGGTTCAATGAATAGTAAATTAGGGTTTTTGATGAAATGTTGTTAAATTAGCTATGTTCTAGGAAGAATGGAGCTTAGAGCATGTTGTGAAAAATGCTAGGAACGACATTTAATCGGTGAAAATGAGCTTAGATAGCTAAATGAGTATATTTGGAAAATGGCAAGAATATGATGCTTGATATTGGACTTTCTTGCAATTGTACTCAATGGTTTGGTTGATTGATGATTGTGTCCTAATGATGTCTAGGATTGAGGCATTTGGACCAACCGTAAGTGATCGCCCATTGGAGCAAGCCATGGAGCTTGATTAGCTCCATTGGATAGGTAAGTTCATGCTTATGTTTGGTATGAATTGTATAGCTTGGTTGATAGCAATGAGATGTTATTGGATGCAATATGTGTTAATTGCATTAAACCTTGTGTAGGTTTTGTTTGAGAAGTGGAGTATTGTGATTGACTGACTGTAGAATCCGTGGGTGGTGAACAAAGGTCGAATTGAAGCTTGAGGTAAGCCTTCGGACCTTGGGTGTAATTCCCTTGACTGTTCCACCAAGCCCTGAAAGGGTAGAGGTTGTGATTGTGTATGTAAATGCAATAAAATAGTGTGATGCTTTGTTATACGTATGTGTATGCATTTGGTGTGGCATAGGATGGTGTTTCCCTATGTTGGTATGTTGCATGACGATGCGTAAATCATACTTGGTAGTTAGCTGGCCAGTAGGACTATTTGCATCTGAGTTTCCTTAGGACAGCTTGAGAGCTCGAGGGATTTCTCCTGGAGATGTTATTGCACTTTGCATAGATATGTATTTACTGCATTATTATTGTTATTGCTATTACACTGATATGGAACTGTGGGGTGGAGAGATGCTCCAAGGACTCCTGGTTTACTGGATATATTCGTATATCTCACCCCGTGTTGTGGGGACCCCCTTTCAGGTAAGGATGCTGCAGGAGCCTCTGGTGGCAAGTGGCCATATCTAGATTAGCATATGCATGAAATGTTGCATTTCTTTTGAGATTATACATGTTGTTTTGGTAGCTCACATGTATAGAATTGTAATTAATAGGCAATGATAGATTTATGATTTGTATATTGGAATGGACTTAGCCTATGCTCATGCCTTTGGTCATCTCTTTCGTTGATGGGAGCCAAGGGAATGATCATAGTGTTTTGTAAGCTAAGTTCCATGATTTGTAATGAATATGTACTGTAAATGATGCCTACTTGAAATTCAATATATGCATGCTTTGATGTATTGAGTTATTGAATTGGTTGGGCTGAGAATCACTTAGGTACCTCTTGTTTAAATTGGGAAACGATGAGAAAACAAAGGTTATGCTGCCCAAATTCTAGCTAAATCTCATGAGGAGAGGTTGGATGAGTGCTAGGATTAAGTTTTGAGGCATGAACAATTGGGGTTTGGAATGGGGATGCATCTTCCCCTAGACTTGGACTTGAAAAATGAGGGTAATGGAATTCCCTGGCAGCGCGCTTTAGCACCCTGGAGCGCGCTTTAGCGCCCTGCTGCCCCTGTGAGAGCCAATGCTTTCGGTCTCCTCGCGCTGGAGCGCCCAGAGTGGGGGCTTAAGCACCCCGGGTTGCGCGCTTGAGCGCCCTGGTTCGCGCTTGAGCGCCCTTAGCCGCTGAAGGAGGAGATGTTTCTGCCTCTGCGCGCTAAAACGTCCCAAATGGGGGCTTAAGCGCCCAGGATAGCGCGCTTGAGCGTCCTGGTGAGCGCTTAAGCGCCCATTTATACTGAAAGACCTGATGTTTCCTGCCTCCGTGCGCTTAAGCGCCCAGATGGAGGCTTTAGCGCCCGATAACGCGCGCTTGAGTGCCCGATATCGCGCTGAAGCACGCAGGGCCTGTGATCAACACCCTCTTGTGTTGCTTCAAATTGTCATAACTTGGGCTACAGTGCTCCGATTTGAGCGCGGTTTGAAGCCACGCGTAGCCAACGAAGAGATCTACAATATAGTAGAAGTTGTGAAATAAATAAGAAGTAAATTAATGGTTTAAAAATGGAATAAGAATATGATGTTAAGCTTGATTTATCTGATTCCGCAAGGTGATATGGTTATGATCACGTAATTGGGTATTATAAATTCGGCATGTTTTAAAATGAAAAAAATTTATCCGAATTTTAATTGAACTCATGTGATTGTAACTGCGCTTAATATCATAATGCGATGTTAACAAACCGGTTCTAGAACGGAGTGTTACATTACTGATCTATTTGAACACTCAATGACGTTAACATGATAAATATTAAATTTTTTTGAAGAATAAGATGTGCATACAAACTCAAGTAAGTAAGACTTGGTTGTTCACACTAGCCAAAATTGTAAACCCTCGTAACATTGGAACTTGGTATTCCTCAAAGCAATGAGTTCTGGATAAAACATTAATTGCATAATACAAAAACGCTATCTGGACAAAATTGAAATTGAAATTCAAAAAGAATAACACAGATAACCACAACAATTAAAGGCTAATAAAGTTAAAAAAGTGAGGATTTCAATTGCATAAAGTTAAAGTTAATTTCCCAAGTTTAAATAAATTAATAGTAGTGTAATAACCTTTCAAGAAGCTCTTTTGAATCTTTTGTATTGCAAGAAGCTAGCAGGGTCAGAGCCAAAGATTCAGCAGGAATAACTGTGTCCAAAGAATTCCATCCCTGTATCACACAAATTGCATCATGTTTTTGACGACAATAGATTTTGTGATACAACTGTTCTTGCAACATTTTCTTATTTCATTGAGCAAGATTATCACAATCAATCCTAAATGAAAAGACAGAAAGTAGCAAATGGAAAAGAAGATTACAAATTGCTGGCCAAGGGACACCTATAGTACCCATCTGTCACTAGCGGCAGGGGATGTTGCTTTGTGGCTGAAATACAAGTTCACATATGGATACCACCATTACATGACTAATATCAAGTTCATTCTAAAATATAATAAGAGTACATTTTTCTGCAAAACATTTGAAACCTCACACAATGATATCACCATGAAATCCCAAAACCCAGCTCAAGCACCAGAACTTGATAGATCAATTCTTGCTCTGCTAATCCACTTACCAGATAACAAAAAAGAAAAAGAAAACCAAAACGAAATTAGAAGAAAGACACAATACCTTATGCATACCCAGATGACTCTGCACCTTAAGGTCAAGTTATGGTTGAAAGAGTGAATAGTGTGGCTTGGAGTCCTAGAAAGAGTCAAAGTGAAGAAGAAGAAGAGCTCGTTTACCACAAGATACAGAAATTGGGGATTTAGGGTTTGGATAAAACAACGTGGGCAGGCCCATGGTTAACCCCACCTTAACCCAAAAGAATGAGGATCATTGGGTCTAGGGTAAAAAATAACCCTATCACATATGGGCTGAAAAAAAAAGGGGCTGAAAATTGAAGTTATATGGCTAGCCCGCGGGTGGAGCCTGTATTGGCAGCTCTAGGTTCAGCTGCATATAAACCTAACAACTACATGCTTATAAAACTATAGCAAGAAACGGGATCCTAAACAATTAGTGCAGAAAAACTCAACATTTTCACTATAAGATACCAACAAATTGTCACCTTAGAGTGAAATAAAAACCACACTTGAAATAAAGAGACGATAGAAAAGGGGTTGCTGATTAATTAAATATCAACCCACGATTGCAAACCTCATCTAAACATTGTGTACCACATCAGTCCGCAACTTAAAATCTTGCATTACATCACACAACCATTGCATTACATTCTGACATACATGTAATAGCTTTAATGCCTAGTTGTTATCAAATTACAGAATTTTGTCCAAGTCAACCATTAATCAATTAATGTGTACAATGCATCCTAGTTATCACAATGTTCTATGTCATGACTCATCTTCAGCTTCAGCAGAAGCTATTTCTGAATCCAATTTGTTTGTTAACTGCTCGCTCACATGCTTAGCAACAGATATCATATCAAGAATGACACTTGGATCCAGACCTGCACCTCCTCGTTTGGTTACACCACAAATGTGCCCTTGCCTATTTACAGAAAGAGAAACAGCAGAGCTCATTTGTGATTCTTCTTCTAATGTGGCATCCACAATATAGTGCCTCCCAACCTACAAAACAGAGTATGAAATTATCATAAAATATGGTCAACTGAGAAGACAGGATAGCACAAGTATGTTTACCTTGGTCAGTGTAACTATAACAGGGACTCCAGATGTGTCAAATTGCAGAAACTCCTCATCACTCACTTCAACTTCTGGTTTCTCATCACTTGAAGAACCAGCAGCAACTTGAACTTTTGGAATACCCGTATTGCTCAAAGCAGCCTAAAAGAATGACAGATGTTAGCTGCATTAGGGCCTTTCCAGTTAATTCTGAAAATAGCTTTATATCCCCAAAAAAAAATTCTCAACATCAAACTGAATGCAAAATCATGTGGGATAACTACAAGAAAACAGCTACAAAAAACAAGGATATTTTCAATTGTAGCTTAATGAAACAATTAGAAAAGTGCACTAGCTTTGGGTAACTTCTAACCAAATATCATGTTTGTAACATCAATGGGCAAAAAATGCGATGAATGAACACCAAAATTTGAAAAGTAAACATTATTGACATCATCATAAAAGGATAGTCTCTGAAATGCTAATTATTTTATATTTTACAGTGCGGAATCTTTTCAAGCAATTTGCCTTCATATTATTTGATTTTTGTTTTATGTTGGTTGTACCTTAATGGCAGCGCCTAGAGCATCCAACAAATTTCCATCTGAACTAACAACAAGCCCATCAATGTACAGATCCCAACAAATTTTTCCTTCAATAACAGTAAGTGAGGAGAGATCAATTCCAGCACCTGTAACAGTGTCAAGAGCTCAACAGCCGTAAATAAGAAATTAAAGAGAGGCAAGAACATGGTAGGAAAAACATATGGTAGTAAACATAATCTTCATGCTAGGAGAAAGATAGACCTGCTCCACTTTTACCACCCAAGAGACAGCGTTGAAGAGCAATTGACAATTCTGCTGACAACTCATCACCCCCTCTACCCTATTTACAAGCAAAGATGTAGTACACAAAATAGAAATAATTATATTGAAGCAATAAAAAGGTATTTACCAAATCAAGATGGATAAATGAGACATCAATAATAGAAAACACTCTCATTGAGAAAATGGGAACTAGATTTCGACCTTGAAAAGGAAAACATTCACAAAATTGCAGTGTGGGTGAGGTATACCACAGGAATATTGTGAGTACCCTTTCCTCAAACAAGTAGGTTCTGCTATAGGCAAAGTGTTGAAGGTAGATAAGACCATAGTTGTCAATAGCAGTTAGCGGCCGACCCCGAAAATGGTATAGCGGTGTAGCGGGTAGCGGTATTACCGCTACGGTGAAGTATTAATTCCACATATATTATACTAACAGTCAAGAAACTAGGCAATACCGCTTTTAGTATTAATGCTCAAACATAAGAAGTCACACAAAATCAAACACATAATTCCACAATCAATGTCAAATACAAGGAACATAAAGGAAGGATCCAAAATTAAACACAACTGAACAATAAAATTGTCAAATAGTCAAGTACAAGAAATGAACTAATAAAGAAAATCATCATCATCTCCGGATTCTCCATCAAATTCCAACATGGGAGTGGTGTAGCGGGTAGATGTATTGCTGCTATGCTACGCCACTACCTTCCGCTACGGCCAATGTCGCGGTTTGTAGCGCCGACCGCCGCTACCCGCTACAGTAGCGGTTTAGTGGCGCTACGGGCCACTACTGACAACCTAGGATAATACTACCTCTACGGGTGACAAAGCCCGCTTTGCCAGAGTCTGTATTGAACTTGATTTGTCTAAACCTCTGAGAGGGGAATATTTCCTTCAGGATAATAAGAGAAGGGTGGAGTATGAGGGTTTGTTCCTCATCTGCCTCAAATGCGGTCGGTATGGGCATAACTCACATTCATGCACTGACTTTGCTAAACCAACTGTGGTGGTGATCCCTGAACCTAATGCTGAGAGTTCTACTACACAACCTCCATTCCAAGGTGTTGGACCATGGATGGTGGTACAAAGGAAGAAAAAACCCCAACAGCCCCTTCAGAAAAAAGACCCTACTCCTGGGAGAACGTTTGGGTCTGACATTTCTAACAAGAAAAGTACACCCACACACAACAAGAAAATTGGCAAAGCCAAGAGTAGTCCTGGCAGTGACTTTGGCTTACCGAAACCCCCCCCCTTTTTCAGGGAGTTGCTACTGCTAAAGAGAATAAATCTGCTGCAAAATTGCCCTCTACCCCTTCTCTGGTAATGAAATTCTCAGCAGCTTCCCCTGCCCCTCCCACTAAAAAAAGGTTGTCAACCAAAGCATCATCATCTGTGGTTAAGTCTGCCACCAGTATCCATTCAACTTTGACTTCCATCCCTGCTGTTAAGGTTGCTCCCACCAAGAATAGCATGGTCTTTTTGGCAAAAAAAACCACTGTCATTGAAACTTCACCTAAAGAGATATTCCTCCATCTGTTCCCCAAGACATCAGTGATTTTTCCACTCTGAAAGATGAATTGGTTGTTGCTCCTCTATCTGCCATTCATTGCCTATAGGTTTAGAAGAGGTGAAAGCTGCAGCAAAAGACACACATGTTACTGTTAATATGGCTGTTGATATTTCTAAGGAACCTGATCCTCCTGATCTTGTGATGGGAGAGAGAGAGACAAAGTAACTTGGAAGAGAAGGCAGGTATGGAAGTTGATATTTCACTTAGTACAACTCGCAGTATGACCTCTTCTGTTTGTGAAGAGTGAATTACGAAGGATGGTCAGTCCCACTCTAAAGCCGCTGATGTTGATCCTCATGATAATAGTAGCAGGAATCCTTTAATCCTATAAAATCCCACGCTTTCTTTATGAATTTTATAACTTGGAACTGTAGAGGTGTTGCTAAAAAATAGTTCAAATGTACTTTCTCCAAATTTCGCAAGAAGTATAGAATTGATATGGCTGCCATCTTGGAACCAAGGGTTAGCGGCAAGAAAGCCAATAACATTATCCGTAGTTTGGGGTTCTCCAACTCCTTAGTTGTGGAAGCTCAAGGCTTTGCTGGTGGTATTTGGGTTGTTTGGGATCCAAATGCTGTAAAAATTGTTCTTCAAGAAAGTAATGATCAGTTCATTCATTGTTGGGTGGAACCACCTGATAAACCTCCTTTCTTTTGGACAGTTGTTTATGCCAATCGTCATGAAGACAAGCGTAAGCTTCTTTGGGAAGACCTTCATAATTAGGGAGAAACATGAATGAAGCTTGGTTGTTGTCTTGCAACTTTACTGAGATCTCCTCAACTGCTGAAAAGAGAGGTGGAGGCCCTGTGGATCTGAATGCAATCGTTTTTCTAATGTGCTCAATATTTGTGGGGTCTTGGATCTCGATGGCAGTGGCCCCTGGTTCACTTGGAAAGGCCCTAAATTCCTTCATCTGGATCGTGTGTTCAACCGTCTTGACCGTGTTGTAGCAAATGATTCTTGGAGAGTTGCCTATGGTGAATTGGTGATGCAGATGTTATCACTTTTCCTAAGCTTTTTTCTGATCACTGCCCTATCCTTGTCAAGCTTGAGAAGGATAACAATCAATGGCGAGACCGTCCTATTAGATTTATGGCAACATGGAAAATGATCTCAGATTTTCCTCTTTTCTCTTTTCTAACCGGAATAGCTCTTATAAGGTTGTTGATGGTCTGACTCACCTTACTCCTCTTCTCAAAGAGTGGAATAACAAGGTCTTTGGCTTTACCTCGCACCGGAAAAATAGAATTATTGCTCACATTGAAGCTGTGCAAAAGTGTCTTAGCTCTAATCATGAGAGGTACTTGGAGAAGCTGGAGCATAAGTTAAACCGTGAGTTGACTCAAATTCTGGATCAAGAGGAGCAGATTTGGCATCAAAAGTCTAGGGGTGAGTGGATTAGAGATGGTGACCGTAACACCTGTTACTACCATACCAAGACTCTTATTAGAAGAAATAGAAACAAGATTGTGAAGCTTCAAAAGGACTCTAGCTTTTGGGTCAAAGAAGAAGATCTAATTTCCTTAGCCCGTGACTTCTTTATTAATCTTTTTAAAGAAGACAACAAAGACATTGTTTGGAGGAATACTTCTGCTACTTGGCCCGAAATTACTGTTGCCTAAAAAGAATGTTAAACATTAATATTTCAGATGCAGATGTCAAATATGCCTTCTTCCAAATGGCAGCCCTGAAAGCTCCTGAGCTTGACGGGTATCCGGCCCTGTTCTATCAACGTAACTAAGATTTGCTAAAAACTCAGATTCAGAAGAGTATGGATTTCTACTTGAGGAACCCTCATTGCATTGCTGAAGTCAACCAAACTCTGACTGCTTTCATCCCCAAAATAAAAAGACCTCAGCTTATGAAACACTTTCGGCCTATTGCTCTCTGCAATACCATCATCTACAAAGGCCTCAGCAAGATTCTGGCCAATAAGATTAAGCCCCTTCTTGGTGATCTTATTTCCCCCAATCAAGTTAGTTTTGTCCCTAAGCGCCAAATCCAAGATAACATCATCATTGCTCAAGAGCTTGTCCACTCTATGCATAAGATGGTGGGGGAAAAAGGCTTCTTCTCTAATAAAATTGACCTCGAAAAAGCTTATGACAAGCTGAACTGGGATTTTATCAAACTTTATGATTGAAGCTAGCTTTCCTACTGGTTTGCTGGAAGCTATAATGGGATGTGTTACCAGCCCTCATTTGGAGGTCCTTTGCAATGGGAACAAAACTCCTAGTTTCAAATCCCAAAGAGGTATCAGACAAGGAGACCCCATTTCTCCTTATCTATTTGTCCTTTGTATGGAGAAGCTTACTCATCTAATTATGGATGAAGTTCAAAAGAAGAATTGGTGTCCAAGCAAAGCTGGGAGGAAAGGACCACTGATTTCTCATCTCATGTTTGCTGATGACATCATCCTCTTTGCAGAAGCTTCGTTGGATCAGCTGAATTCCATCATCCATTGATTGGAGACCTTCTCCAATATGTCTGGTCAATAAGTAAGTATAGAGAAATCTTGTATTTACTTTTCTAAAAACGTAGATGCAGATTTGGCTTTGGATTTATCTAAGGTTAGTGGCTTTAAAAAAGTCAATAATCTCGGCCGCTATTTGGGCTCTCTTATAAAGCATGGCATAACTAGAAAAACCACTATGCTGAGGTTATTTCTAGAGTGCAGAATAGGCTTCATGGCTGGAAATCCAAGTGTCTCTCTTTGGCCGGCAAAATCACCCTAGCCAAGAGTGTTATTTCAACCATTCCCAATTTCCACATGTAGAATAGTTTACTGCCGACTTATGTTTGCAAAGAAATTGAGAAGCTTCAACATAATTTCATTTGGGGAGACACTGATAATTCGCGGAAAGCTCATTATGTTTCTTGGGACCATTTGTGCCTCCCTAAAAATATTGGTGGCCTGGGAATCATAAATTTGAGGGGTCAAAATGAAGCTTTCTTGTAGAAGATAGCTTGGCAGTTTATCAATAACCAAAATAGCCTTTGAGCCCAAGTCCTTTATGGCAAATATGGCAGAAACTGTGATCCTAGCCGTGAAGTTATTATGAAAAATAGTGATTCTGTGTTTTGGAAGAGCATTTGTAAGGCTTGGACGAATATGTATCAGCATTTCGAATGACACATTGGTAATGGTAGTTCTATTCTCTTTTGGACTGATTTGTAGGGTGGTGTGCAAAATTCCCTCTTGGATCTTGCTAGCACTAAACCCCCTGATTCTGATCTCAGTTTGAAAGTATGTGATTTAGTCAATTCTATTACTAGTGAGTGGAATTGGCATTATTTATCTCAATTTTTTGAACAGGGGATCATTCATAGATTAAAAGCTTTATTCCCTCCTCTCACTGATGAAGCTACTGATTGCCTGAAGTGGAAAACCCTCAACCCAGGTAGATCCCTTGTTAAGCATGCTTACTGTAATACCATGGGTTTTACTACTATAGGTTATGGAATTTGGAACTCTCTCTGGAAGTGGAAGGGACCCCTTAGAATAGCTATTTTTATGTGGATGGCCTTCCTCAACAAGCTTCCAGTCCGAGACAGAACTTGTCACTGGAGTGGTGGTATCCAATCTTGTCCCTCTTGACATCATTCGGAGACCATCATCCACATTCTTCGTGACTGTGAGTACGCCAAATCTATCTGGCTTTGCTGGTTCTCAGGTTCTGTTCCTCAAAATTTCTTTTCTTTGGATAGTGAAGATTGGTTTAGATTTAACATTTAGTTTGACTCCTAAATGGCCTGTTTGGAAAGAGGTTTTTTTTGTAACCTATTGGTTCCTCTGGCAATGGAGAAACTCTACTGTTCATGATAGCATTTTTCTAAACCTGTTGAGCCTATCTCTCGGCTGCTCAATTACCTAACAGATATGAAGCTGGCCAGCAAGGTTTTTCTGCAGTCTGACAGCAGCACAGCCAGTCCTTTGTACAGTGATATTTGCCACAATTTCCCCCTTACTCATCACTTTTTATTCACAGATGGTGCCTCTTGTCTTGTGAACAATAAAAGTGCATCATGTGGTGTTATCTGTGATTCGAAGGGCTCTTGGAACACTGGTTTTTCTTATAATATTGGCTCTTGTTCTGCCTTAGAAGCTGAATTATGGGGCTGCCTTCATGGGCTCCTCCTTGCTGCAAATATGAACTCTGAAGTGCTCCCATCTGGTGGTCTTTTGTGACTCCAAGGATGCCTTATTGTGCATATCTAAAAAAGTGGATAATGTTGTCGAGCCTTCTCTGGTTGGTCGCATCAAGATTGTTGTTCACAAGTTTCAGTTTGTGCACTTGGCGTTTATTCCTCGAGAGATTAACTTTTTTACTGATAGGCTTGCTAAGTTGGTCTTTCAACTCCTCCTTAGAGCTTCCAATCTTTTACGGATCCTCCTGATGACATTTTTCCTTACTGGACTTTTTTTTTTTTTGAACTTTTTGTTACACCAGATCACTAGTGATCTGCATATGTTAACTTTGTAATTGTTTCTGTTTTGGGCTGTTTATGCCCTCCAATATTACCCAAAAAAAAAAAACACTCTCATTGATGAGAGTCTAAAGCTTATTTGATCCATTGCAGCATTTAACCTTATTCCAAGCTTTCAAGGATTTACTGATTTGTTTTGCTATCAATATTCACAGTACTTAAATATGAATATAAAACTGCAATATTCACTAAACAATGAGGAAGAAAAGCAATAGAATACCCAACCTCAAAAGTTGGCTCTGCAGTCGAACTGCAATCGACATGTATAGAGACTTTCCCTTTGTCAGGTTGCAATAAGCTTGGCTTTCCAAGTTCAGCCTATAAATGTGTAGCCAATATATCATTGTTAGTCAAAGAACTGACACGATTTGAAAAAAAAAATTGTTCAAACTAATATACAAAAGGATTTTACGAATCACGAAAGAAGAGATTAAACCCAACATTTTAACAAACCTTTACACTAGCAATGACATCTGTCCCACCCATTCTGACTCTAGCTGAACCGTTTGCCTATCATGAAGTTCATTGAATGTACAAATTAAAACTATTTAGAGCAAGAAAAATTCAGATGGTCAGCTAGGGTCGAATCATCAGAATACCGGTACCCTGCCAAATGCCAACTAATTTCAGGATTACCTGAGGAATGACTCCGGTTTCAACATAGATTGGTCGATAACTCAATCTCTTTCTACCATCACTACGAAGGTCTTGAGCAACGCCTCCTTGGATGAAATGTTGTTCTCCAACGGATAAACCCACCATTCCTGCAAATGCAAAAGATTTGAGAAACTTTATGACTAAAGGCACAAAATGGAAACTATTACATATGAAGCATAGATGTCAATCTCAGATAGTGCATACCATAGTTGTCAATCCCCAATAGTGGTGCAAAGTAGAGGTGTAATTAGCCCGGGCTTTGGCTTTCATGGCCTAAACCTATACAAAAATATGTTGAGCCTATCTAACTTATTAGCCTATTAAAGGCTTGGTTTACAGGTCAAGTCAGGCCTATTGTTAAAAAATAAAAAGTCTAACATGACCTATGAGGCTTTTTAGGCCTATTAAATTGCTCAAGGTACTTGTCAGATGCTCAAGGTCATATATGAATAAAGTTTACAATTACAGGTATTGAAATTCACATTATATACCGGTCAACCAAAATTTCCATATATATACCTATTAAGGTAAACAGAGTTCGGTATTAATAGCTCAGAAGCAATGCAGCTCAATTCAAGTTATTGCTTTAGGAAGAATCCATAATACTAAGTGAATAGGTACCCTATCATTTACTCATATGATTAGGTCTTAAAAAAAAAAACAATTACTTGGGCAATCAATATGAAGTTAAAGGTACTAATATATTTACCCAGTTTTTGCATCTAAGAGCTATATTCACTGCATATGTTGTACTGACACATGATACAACACGATACTCCGACACGTTAATTCTAAAATATGTTAAATTTCGACACGTTATGACACATTTTGATATTATATAATATTTTTAAATTATTTAGCGTATATTATATTTAATATTCAATAATTTATTAAAAAATAAAACTAAACTTATAATACCTATCAATTTTGTAAAGAAACATAAGATATCCGAATGTTTATATTGAAATCGTAATCTAACGAATCTAATAGTTGAAACTCTCAAAATGCAACGCAACATAACCTCTGAACTTTTTTTTAATCTTTGCGATGAGTATTGGAGTGTAAGGGAATGTCGGAGTGTCAGAAAGATATCGGACACGACACTTATAGTTCACTGCTTCATATATACACACTCAACCTTCGGAGTATGTATATATGAAGATCTTTCACTGAAATTTCTCATAAAATGAGCATTACTTATTAATTTAATCAACATAATAAGAAGGAATTTTTTTTCTTAATTACAAAAATGCAACGAATGCTTTTTGCTTCTGGGAAATCACCGTCAGCACCTGAGCTATCGAAAGCCGAACCACTTTTCGGCATCAACATAACAAATGCAATCGATTAGTGCATGAAAATAGAAGAAGCAGGGACATGCCGACAGAGACATGATTTCTGGGCTAGGGTTTGTAAATTGTTTAAATGCTGTGGAGAAGGGTTTACCTTGATAAACCACAAAAATGGAAACCCACGAAGATGTTGTTGCGGTGGTGAAATGACAACGAATCTCAACTGAACGGCGGTGAGAACAGATGGGTGACCGGCGGTGAGGGACTTCGAGTTGCTCGTTGGACTTAAGAGAAAATGGGTTCCAATAAATTAGGGTGAGAGCGTCTGAGCGTGAGACACGAGAGTGAGAAGCGGCGCAAATATGTTCAGTAACTTTTATCGGTATCTCTGTCGCAAATATGTCATGTTGATATCAACTTCCTGTATATCTTGACTGATCATTTTGTTTTTATTTATCGTTTTACTTTTCTTCCGAAATTACATACCGATATACTGCTTTTCCTAAATTATATATTAATTTAATTTATTTGATCAAAATTTAATCCTAAATAGATTATTTATTCGAATAAATTAATTCATTTATACAAGTAAATGTAAGTTAAATTTTATTAAATATAAAAAAATTAATATATAATTAGAAAAGAGAAGCAAAGTGCTGGAGAAAGAAAATTTATAATCGATGCAAAATGCTCAATCAACTTCCACTTATAATTTGATTATCTTTCTGTCGAAATAAGTAAGAATACTATTTTTTGAAAAAATATCATTTATAAGTATTTTAATCGAGATACTAGAAGGGGCCATTAGTTCTTTGACTTCCACGGTGTCGAAGGAGATGGTAATCATAAGCAAACTATACAAAAGTAAATTAATAATGATAAATAAAAATAAAAATATTAAAATAAGGGAAGAAATTCACTTAGCACTAATTAAATTTATCATTTCTTATCACTAAATCTTAACTGTTAATTTTTGTAAACCTGACGGTTATAAATTATGAGTAAGGTTATATTGACAAACTTTTTTTTTATAAACTTACAAACTACACTATGTCTGACCGGTAATACTCTACTCAAGAGTGTATACCGGTTAGACATAGTGTAGTTTGTAAGATTTTGTAGATAAAAAATTTATAAATATAACATTTCCATAAATTATTGGATGATACGTATTAATTAATTATTAATTCTCAATAAATTATAATCGTCAGTTTGACGGAAATCAACCGTTAAGATTTAGTGATAAATATATTCTGTCTCTTAAAATAAATAGTTCTAAAATAATAGTCGATTTTCCCACATGATATCTCTTTTAACATCCATTTCCACATGTAATAGCTTTAATGCCTTGTTATCAAATTACAGAATTTTATCCAAGTCAACCACTAATCAATTAATGTGTACAATGCATCCAAGTTATCATTATGTTCTATGTCATGACTCATCTTCAGCTTCAGCAGAAGCTATTTCTGAATCCAATTTGTTGGTTAAGTGCTTGCTCACATGCTTAGCAACAGATATCATATAAAGAATGACACTTGGATCCAGACCTGCACCTCCTCGTTTGGTTACACCACAGATGTGCCCTTGCATATTGACAAAGAGAGAAATAGCAGATCTCATTTGTGATTTTTCTTCTGATGTGGTTTCCGGCCGGGTTTCCCTATGCTTCGGTGAGGCAGATTCTGATTTGGCATCGTTAGTGTACCTTCTCAAGTACTAGCTGTTGATCACCATGTTCATCCATAACGAGCGGCATAGGAGGCGGTGGATAGTTGTTCACGGCATTGCGTGTGTATCATTATTGGGTGGGAATTGAAATTTAACGATTCCCACATACAATGTTCGGTTCGGGTGAAGCATGAATGTACACCCAATGGGTATTAAAGGTATATAGGATCGATATGCTCACAGTTATCTATGAGAGATATCGTGTAAGTGTATGGATCACTATGCACTTAAATGACGGGCATTTAGCCAATATTTGGTGAGTGTGCGCAGTGATGCTAGAAGTAAATGTAAGAAATTTTCAAATAATAATTCAACATACAGATCGATACATGTATGATAAATAAAACACCACATATCAATTTTATTTTAAGAGGAATTTGTGTACCTGATTTGGTCATCATCTTATCTACTGAGCGAAGAACCTTAATCTCACGGCTAGAGTCTTCCTCTCCATGACCTATTCCTAAATAGCAATTTTCAGCGATGGAAGCATGACGGCTCATGAGGCTTAACTCCAATATAAATAGGCTAGAGAGGGACCTAGCAAAACCCTAATCAACAGTGCGTCTGATGGATCCACCCATCACAGAAGCCCATCAGACACTAATGCCTACACTGTGCTGCCCAACTAGACCCAATACCAAAAGATGCTAAAAGTTCAACTCAACATGATCACAATGGGCTTATCACAATAGAATAAATTGAAATATCCATTAACCCAATTATTTTAGAAAATACAAAAACATTAATTAATATTGCCCACATATAAAATTTCTAATATTCTCCCACTTGGGCTATATTAATTAATTGATTTTATTTTAAAATACTTTTATTTGAAAACGACTCTATCAGGTTAATAACAAGAAAAAAAACATTTTACGTGGCCACGATTTGAAAAACAATATTCCAATTCCAATACCAGCATCTCAATACAATTCAATCCAACATAACCCCATCATAGGAACATAGCGATCAATATACGGAAAATATCATAGTATATGACCTTCCATACTCACATACAATGAGTATTACATCTTAATGAATCAAGATCTAGCAGTGTAATAAGAATTAATGCCAAAATATGATCAACATTGTAACACACTAATTCTTATCGGTCCTCAATGTAATTTCTCAACAACATGAAATTACATTAGTGCAATTTCCAAGCACCATGAAATTACACTCCATAATGCAATTTCTTAACAACATGAAATTGCTTTACCGCAATTTCTAAACAACATGAAATTTTCTTACCGCAATTTCTAAACAATATGAAATTGTCTTTTTTCAATCTAATTTCTTAACAACATGAAATTGAATTAACGCAATTTTCAAACGACATGAAATTGCTTAGTTTAAATAAACCAACATGTCACAGTACAACATGAGATCTCAAAATTTGTGACATCCAATCATCTTTAAGCTCACAACATGCTTGCTTAAAGATATCATTCATACATATATTTCTCAATCGACAGGAGAAATAACAATAATGATGATCATCAATTATAAAAATTCAAACAAAAGTCACGAAAATCATCATCAAGTTACATGACCAAAAAAGTAAACTGAATATAACTCCACTAATCAAGGGAATTAAAAGAATTTAAAACATTCAAAAGAAAGCCTCGAGTACAACTCTTACTAATTAAGGGAATCAAAAGAATTTAAAGTACTCATATATACAAAAGAGACTACTTCAAGGTATTTCCTATAAAAGCTTTTTATAGCTTTTATTTCATTCAATAAATCAACATCTCATTGAAAAATAAGTTGTCATCTACATAAAGTACTAAGAATATACATATACTCCCACTTACTTTCATGTAGATGCACTTGTCAAATATATTTAAATTAATTCAAAGGAATTAGCAAAAATTCACTGTTAAGGCAAAACGAATGCATCCAAATAAATATAGGGCAAAATACAACTTCAATTAAGGCAAGTTATTACAACGAGGCCAACAAAATAGTACATTTTTCTTTGGACAAAATGCAAGAACAATGACCACTTTGCCACTATTCATCATAAAATTTACCAGAATGCCACGCGCACAGTAAAAATTCTCAAACTGCCACACAGGCTAATTCGCTACACAGTGTAGCGAATTAGGCCTGCTGATGTGTCACTGACACGAGTTGTCGAACTCGCGCAAATTAAAAATTAATTCTTTAGGGTTCAGAAAATTTGCAGTAAAGTGGAAACCCTAAGTCGTCTCTCAAGGAAATTGTTTTGGTTAAAATCGCTTATGAGAACAGAAAATTAAAAGGGGGGTTTTGGATTTTGATTCAATAATTAAAAAGGCAGAATATAAATTTGGAATAAAAATTCGTAATTAACCAACCTAAGGTTTGGGTTCCATGGACGTCTTTCCTCGGATAAGAAGATATCAGAATCGTGATTGATTTGTCAATCGGATCAGAATCCTTATTTCTAATTGACAACCCTCTCTAAGCGATCGCTTAGCATTTGATCAAAGACGATGCTTCTACTCATACAATCGCAGAGTATCAGCCCGCTTGATTTAAGGTCATAGGGTCAATCAACCTAATCATTAAATCTGATGATTAATCCCTTTCCATAATCGCAATCGCGAACCTCAGATTGAATATCCACGATCGCACGATATCAATCTGAGTTGGGAAGGGAAACAAAACTGATTTGAAATAAACGCAGATCCTCAAGACCAATCCATGGAAACCATTACCCTTAGGTTGATTAAAAGGTTCTTAGCCTCGCATGGCTAAGGTAAACATAATTGAAATAAAAAGAAGAAGAAGAAAAAAAAAAGATGAAGAACGCAATTGAATAAAAACTCAGAGAGAACTTCTCTGTTGTAAAAACTGACTACCAAGGGTTTCCTAGAGTCCCCTTTAAATAGCCGTCACGCAGGACGGCTAGGATTTCATCGCTTCAGCCCAAACATAAAATAAAAAAACCGAATAAAATAAAATGAAACAATAAAACTTGGCTTTGGGCCACTTAAGTAATTGGGTTTTAATTTAAATTACAAGCCCAATAGTCAAACAAAACTTCAGCAAAACGCGTCCAACTTGGTGTCCGAAATCGACCAGCTTCTAGTCCGAATTGGGCTTAGAGCTCTGCATAAGAATTGTAGCTCTCTGTGTTATCTGAAAAACCCAACAAGAACGGAGTCAATCCGACAACTATGGACCGAGATATGGCCAAAATACAGAAGTAACGTAAAGCTGAAAAATTCTGACGAAAATAAATTAAACCCAATTAAAAACTAAAAACCTAAATTAACTCTAACAATCATTATTTTATTCAAATAAATCCTAAAAATACTAATCAAGAGTAACAAATAAGTGTAACAAAATATGTGTTATCAGTCACCTCCCCACTGGTCCACGTATTTCGCTACACAGTGTAGCGAAATACGTGGTCAAAAGATCAGCTTGGTCAGTCACCTTTTGGACACATGTCACATCCTTGTTGGACACATAATTCGCTACCCTGTGTAGCGAATTATGTATCAGAAGGGTCAGATCATGTCAACTCAAAGTCAGGCCACGTGTCACTTCCCCACATAATTCGCTGTACTACATAGCGAATAATGTGGCTATTTTTGGTATGACTCATAGCGAAATATGTAATATCTGCCAAGTATCATCTCCCCACTAATTCACTAGGGGGCATAGCGAATTATGATC